TGCCGTGACGGAACATACTGCCACGCTTTTATTGTTCTCGGACAACTGTAACTGCGGTGAAACTTCAGTCTGATGAGAACGAGGTCACTCGTTAGGATGTCGGAGTAAAAATTCTGGTCCATTTTCCCATAGCGTACATTTTAAACCCTCTATATCTGTTCCACGTGATACTAAATCGGCTGGATTCTCTAACATTCTCTAAGAGCTCTTGAATTTCAGAAACTCTATTCGCAACAAATGTTGCTAGATTGGACGGATCCCTCTTTAGCCAGTATAAAGTGACTTGGAAGTGTAACCAATAGTTAATTCTTTCAAACTCTAATTTCTTATGCAAGGGAAACACTTGAGCCCATAGTTTGGCAAGCAGATGCGCTGCACACAGCTCGAGCCTTGGAATCGATTTGGTTCTAAGGGGGGACACTTTCGACTTGGCGGTTAGCAGTCTTGGCAAACTATTTGTCCCAACCACAGTACGAATGTAAATGCAGCAGCCATAGGCGTGGCTCGAAGCATTAGCAAATCCGTTTGTTTGAACACTGTCATAGGAAAACAAACAATTATATCGAGGAATGGATATCTAATTTATTTCTGTTTGAATTCATTCCAACTGGTGTGTAAATTCATGGGAACCGATTCGTTCCAATCTAATTTTTATCGCCACAGTTCCTGAAGCAAGATTTTAGCTCTTGTGATCAACGGACACAACAATCCCAAGGGATCAAACAACCGAGCTGTGACGGATAAAATGTTGCGTTTAGTTGGTGGTAGGGACTGAAACGTATCCTCCAAACTATCTATAATGAAATGCATCACTCTGAGGGTTCCTTCTCATCCCCAGCGTTTTCACAGACTTGGAAGTGTTGAATATAAGATATTTTTCTGGTCTCTGGTTAGTCATCAAACTTGGGTGATTTGTTGCTCACCCCCTAATTCCAACACCTTGGTCACTTCTCTGCGGATGACTTCCAACTCTTCTAAACTGTTTACTCCTGTGAGCATATCGTCTATATAAAAGTCGCCTGAAATAACCTCCGATGCAACAGGATGTGACTCAAAGTAAATTTTTGCTAGTTCAAAGAGGCAACGAATGGCCATAAAAAACGGAGCAGAGGCTGTCCCATAAGTGACAGTGTTGAGGCGATAGGTTTGGAGCGCTTGCATCGACTTTTTCCTCCACACGATAAGTTGGAAATTTCTATCTTCATTAGCAATGTTAACTTGCCTATACATCTTCGAGATATCAGCAGTCAAGGCATATTTGTGTAATCGAAATCTTGCCAAAATAGCGTAAAGCTTCCTCTGAATAGTTGCACCCACCATTAGAGTCTCATTTTGTGAGACCGAGGTTGACGTTTTACTTGAAGCGTCAAAAACAACTCCCAACTTTGTTGTGCTACTATCAGGTCTCAGGACACATTGATGTGGAATGTAATAGTGTTGTCGTGGAGGAGGTGTTGGAAGCAGCGACATATGCCGAAGGTTAAGATACTCTTCAATAAACTCTTGATACATGTCATGTAACTCGCGATTATTTGCAAGCTTCCGCTCCACCGCAAGAAATCTGCATCAAGCCCTTGGATTTGTCTTAAATGGCAACTTTACCACAATTCCCTAAAACGTTCTACTAGAGAGTCGAGAGAATTTATATTTTCACTACCAGTGACGCTGCATACTTGAGCATTATTCGATGCGCGTTGAGTGCACTTTCCCGAAACAATCCATCCTATTAAAGTTTTCTGGATTGAAGGATGTTATGAACCCAATTTTATTTGGCCTACGCTGAGAAGTTCGAAAATGGATTCTGCCCCAATTAGCATTGCGGGCTTGTGAAACCGAGGGTCTGCCAATTCAATATTTGCTGGAATTTTTCACTGTGTCCACAGTAGCGAAACTATGAGCATTGATGCGAGAATGAACCGACGTGTGGACTTTGTGCCGTACTACCGAGTCGTTCTTCCCTACAGTAGTGATATTCAAATAGGATTCTTTCCTGTGTAGCCTACTGAAGGGGCCTGAGCTTGAGGAAGTGATCTTGAAGAAATTGGTTTCTGCTCTACTCCGTATCTGTGAAGAAGTGTGTTATGGGGCTTGGAGCAAACGCGACACTTTGTTGCTTTGCACTTTTTAACTAGATGACCTGGATTCAGATAATTAATGCACAACCGATTGTGTTTCGCAAAATCGAACCGTTGGATCACTGGCAAAGCCATGAAAGGTTGACAACTGCCTAAACTATGGTTTGTCGCTGAGCAATATCGACATTTTGATTCAGGTCTGTGATCTGTTTGTGTGCATGAGAAGGACGATTTGGAATATCCTCTATTGGAACCTTGGTTAGGCTTCCCTTTACTTTTGGTTGACTCCTCAGTAGCTAAATGTTGATATTGCCGATTCAACTGAGTCGTACAATCAGACCATGTCGGCAACGTATTTTAAAGTAGTTGTTCCTCAAATCGGGATTTTGTTGTGTGATCTACTTTGGACATTGCTATGTAAATGAAAATTGCGTTGTTGATTTCCTTTTCACTAACGATGCATAAAGGGCCGATATTTCATCTATAAGAGACTTCAAGCCTGATGCAAAGGGTTTTGATACTTTCGGGAGGTCAAACAGTTGAGAAATCGTGTTAAAAAAGATCAAACATTTATTATCGTACACGTTTTTTCATAATTTAAATTCGAAATTTGAAAAGCTTTCACAGTTCCTAGGGCATCTGTTTTGTGTCGACTGAGCTAGGTATTGCTGCAAGCCTGCATTGTTCGTAGGGGTTCTAACTTTGAAACACACGATATTAAGTTTAGTGTTTAACAAACTTTAATGCACAATAATAATTAAATTAATTCACAATGATATAATGAAAAATGAGATATGAGAAAAATGAGATGTCGCGTAGATCTGCTCCGGCGTTCAATCGACCGACTCGTAGACTTGACTTTTTGGGAATGATTACTGATTAATGGTGGTCTTCTCTCAGAGAGAGCGATAGAGAGGAGACATCGCCGCTCTTTGCTAAGTATGAAGCCGAACATGCAGCCCGCAACGCTGGAACAGCATGATGATCGCTCTCGATGCTTCTGGTCATCTTGGGTAAGGGTCCCATTGCTTCCTTCGGATACGTCTTATCTGCATGTGGAAATACGAGACAATTTAATGACTGAGAATGTGCATGGTTATCCCGCGATTGGTAACCGACATAGCTTAGAGTTTTAATTGGCCATGCTTGGTTTTTAGTGTCACCACACGGACTCGGTTATCTTCTCCTGGGTGTAATTCCAAAATCCGTCCGAGGATCCATTGTGTTGGCGGAGTTCTGTCGTCTTTTATTATAACCAAGTCGTTAATCTGCAGTTTGGGATGCTCCTGATGCCACTTTGGTCGTTTCTGGAGATGAGCTAACCAATCTCGAGACCACTGCTTCCACAAGAAATGTATCATTATTTGCTGATTTAAAAATTGTTCCCGAAATGATGTGGTTTGTGGTTGACATTCTGGCGGTGCAAACATAGCATCCTCTATTAAGAAGTGTGCTGGTGTACGTCCATTAAGGTCGTCAGGGTCTGCTGTGAGTGGACAGAGTGGCCGCGAATTGAGACAAGACTCGATCCTGATCAGGACAGTGGATAACTCTTCATATGTAAGGTGTGTGTTGACTACTACTCGCTTCAGATGATGCTTGGCTGATTTAATGTTCGCTTCCCAAAGTCCTCCGAAATTCGGAGAGTGCGGAGGGTTGAAGTGCCACTGTATAACTATGGATAGCCAGCTTTGGGGCGACTACAGATTTGAAGTCCGATTTTAGCTTGTCGTAGGCAAGCTGGAGCGTCTTATCTGCGCCGACAAAATTGGTTCCTTTGGCGCTGTATATGTGTCTACAAAGACCTCGACGTCCAGTGAAGCGATCTAGCTCCCATATGAAATAAAAATGGCGATGTATCCTTTGTAATAGCTCGTTCCGCGCATACGAGCAGCCTTAATCTCGATGGCACCAGTGTAGTCCACCCCTGTTGCCCAGAAGGGCCGATTCGGCGGAGTGATCCGATGTAGCGGTAGGTCTCCCATTAATTGGGTTCCGATGGATGGCTTTGTGCGAAAGCATCGAATACATTTTCGAATAATGTTCCTCACGATTTGTCTGCCGTTGATAATCCAGAACCGATGCCGGGTGTGAGCCAATGTTAATTGTGCTCATCCGTGAAGCGTCATTTGATACGAGAACTTGATGAGTAATTCTGTAAGAAAATGCGATTTAGGTAAAATAATCGGATGTTTTCGATGATAAGGCGTTGAGTTCTGTAGGCGTCCACGAATTCGTAAGATACCGTCAATCAAGAACGGAGTTAGATTTGCTATCTACTGTTCTTGACTATTTGTTTGGATGATCGTAACACGCGTATTTCTTCGGGAAAAGATTCCGCTTGAACAATCCGAACCAGGCAAAATAATGCTGAATTTAATTCGCGGATAGAAAGAAGACCAGTTTGTCGAGATGAGCTGTTGCGCGCGTTGTTGTAAAAGCGTAGCATGAATGCAGTTACGCGAAGTAGTTTTGGATAGGAAGAAAAACGATGAATAAATGTTTGCTGAGGTGCAGATATGAAATTTGGCCAGATCCATTGGTGTTAATCCTCGGGTTGCACACTCTGCAGGATTATCGGCTGTGCTTACGTGTCCCCATTGATTTGGTGTTGAGTGGTCTAAGATGAATGCTACTCGATTAGCCACAAAGGTTTTCCATCTGTATTGTAGCATCTGTCCAATAAAACGTAGAAAGTGGTGCAGAGGTCCACCGGTTGACTGTTTGTATCCATTTCACTAGTTTGATGGCGAGCACAGCTCCACAAAGCTCGGTACGAGGTATGGTCATTGGTTTTGTCGGTGAGATTTTCGATTTAGCAAATATGAGCGATGTGTGGTATGAATCATCGTTCAGGACAACTCGAATATACACGGCGGCTGCATAAGCTGCTGATGAGCCGTCGCAAAATGCGTGTTATTGAATTTACGATATATTTGTTGTCGTAAATCGTAGCCAACGAGGTATGGTGATGCAATCGATGTGTTGCATGGACGTACGAAAAGCTTTCCAACGTAGAGCTAATTCTTCGGGAACTGGACCGTCCCAACCTAGGAAGACCTGGAAGCCATCTTTCTGGGTTTGTTTGGCCATTGTCACGTCCTTTATGATGAGCTTTGCCGAGACAATAACCGGTGCGATAAGTCCTAAGGGGTCGAACAATCTCGCGATGTTAGACAAGATGATTCGTTTGGTCGATCCTAGTGAAACTTCGGCGTGAATCTTGTACTTGAATGCGTCCTGGTTTGGCAACCAATACAATCCCAAAGTTTTTATGATGTCGTCGTTATCCCAATTTAACAGCGTTTGGCTGCGTTGATGTTCTGCAGGGACTGCTGATAACAAAGATGCGTGGTTACATGACCATTTTCGGAGTTCCATATAAGCAGATTTTATAGCTCCTGTGACTTGTAATCGTTTCTCTTCAGCAGATCTAATTGAGTAGGCACCTGAGAGTATGTCATCAACGTACATTTCGTGTTTTAATACGTCTACAGCTTCCGGGTACGTTTGGTTTTCATCTTCCGCAATTTTATGCATAACTCTGATAGCGGTGTATGGAGCTGTGCCAAACGTTACTGTGGTGAGACAGTATTCATTGATGTTTCCATCCGCCGCCCGCCATAAAATACGCTGATACTGTGAGTCGTCGGGATGTACATCGATGCAGCGATACATTCGCTGTATGTCAGCAGAAAACATATACTGGTACTGACGCCAGTTTAATATGACTGCGGACATATCGTTTTGAAATTTAGGTCCGACGCATAATATTGTAACAGGCTGGGTATTAATTATGTATACTAACTTATATTATTATTATATTACTTTGTAAACGCTGGTCACACTTCTGATCTCTCGAGAGAGGATGTGCTCTCTCGAGAGAGTAAGAAGCTGAACATAATCGGGGGTTGAAAGTTAGCTGCCTGCGAGCAGCGAGTCAGTTCGTATTGAAAGCTGAAAGAGAATAAAGCGATCCTAATAAAAAGTGAATAAAACGAACCTGATACAATCTCAGAAGTGGGATACGGAAACAAAAAAAAAAAAAAATATTCAAAGACTAAAAGTTCAAATTTAAATTAAAAAACAAAACAATAATGGATTTGCAAATGAATGATGTGTCGGTGACTCAGTTGAAGCGGTGGTTGGAACTCCTCAATTTGCCAACAACCGGATCCAAGGCGAAACTTTTTTCGCGAGTGGTTGCTATTCCACCGGAAAACCGAGGCAAGATTCCCCAAGCGATCCAGGAGGAAGAAGAAATACTGGACATGGAGTCAATCAATTCGGAAGACGAAAGCTTGGAGCAGCAAAATCTGATGCAGCTAGCTAGTGATCTGGAAACTATGGAAGGAGTGCGCCTGGAAATTGAGAAGGCGCAGAATTTTCTAGAAGCTTTACGGCGGCAGATCGACGGCGCCAGAGCCAACGGTTCGTCGAATTTGGGCAGCAAGATCGAGCGAAATACCGAGAAAAGCAGCGTTTCCAAGAATTTCAAGAACGGGCAAGAACGGAAGGCGCAGACGAACGGCGACAAGAGTGAGCGAGATGGAGAGAGAAGCAACGGTGCGGCGAGAAGTGGCGTGAATGAACAACAACTTAGCGATGAAGAGGTCGGCGCCAGCAACGTTGTCTGCAGCAGAGTTGTGCAGGAAAATTCCGGTGAACTTGTGGCGAAATTCTCAAATGGTGATGGCAATTTTTCGTCGGCTGGTTTTAATCTGGCCAAAGAAATGCTGCTCGAGTTTGCTGACAACATGCCGGTTCGATCCTGGATCTCCCAATGGGACAACATATCATCGTTGTATAATTTGGCGGACGCACAGCGAAGAGTTTTGCTGATCAGCAAATTAAAAGGCAGTGCTTTACAGTGGATGCATGCTGATGCATCTCGCTTTGGAAAACCGACGAGTGAGTTGCTGCAGCAGTTACAGCTTGCTTTCGGCGGCAGCGAGTCGAAGGCTATTATGAGGCGCAAATTCAAGGCGCGCTTGTGGCAACCAAATGAGAAGTTTGCTGTCTATTTTGAAGAGAAGAGCAGACTAGCCAGAGAGGTCAACATGGAGGACGACGAGCTCGTGGATGGACTTGTTGTGGGCATTCCAACGGCTAATTTGCGTACTCAGGCGAAGCTGCAGTGTTTCGAAAATTCTGGAAGAATGCTGAGAGCGTTTGCGGACATAATGCTGCCAACGAAAATTACTGGAACCAACAGGATGCGGACAACGAAGACTGATCTGGTGAGCAAGGAGACGCGCTGCTACAACTGCAACGGAAAAGGTCATTGGGCCAGGGAGTGCGCTAAACCGAAACGGACGCCAGGAACTTGTTATGAATGTGGCTCTGCCGATCACCTGATCAACGGATGTCTGAAGAACAAGAATCGAGATGTCAACAAATATGTAAGACTGTTTAAAATTTTTTGTTTTGAAAATCCTAATCAGCCAATTATTACGGAATGCTTAATAGATTCAGGTAGCCCAATATCTCTCATAAAAATTTCGTTTGTGCCGAAAAATATTAAATTAGAACCTCAAAAAGAAACTTATGTTGGGATAAACAAAAGTGAATTAAAAAGTTTTGGAAAAATATTATGTTTCATATGGAAAAGAGAAATAAGAATTTTTTTTAACCTAATTGTTGTGGCTAATGAATCTATGGGCAGTAATATTGTGCTGGGCAGAGACTTTATGGAAGCCTGCGATTTAAAAATTAATTTAGAAACGCTAAAGATTATTACGGTTGAGAGTATTGATACCCAAGACGATAACAAAATTAATTCAATCGATGAGGTGCCTTACAATGCACATTGGGCCAGCGAGCCGATTTTTCGACGAAAATTAAAGTTTTAAAGCTAGGTTCTTCAAATTTGGTACATATGATAGTGTCGATGCACATAAAAATATATCTAAATTTCAGATCGATCTGACCACGCCTTCCTGGCCGCCCATATGAGATAGGTTTCCTCTTATTGATACTTGGGCGGTAATAAATAATGCTAGCGCTCGTTAAATTTAACAAATGTTTTTAATTCATTTTTTTTACACTTATCCTTAATATTAAGAAGTAAAAAATAACAATGCATTCGAAATGACTATAAATAAGTAGTTTTCATTTAAAAATGTTCCTAACAGTCGTCTTCTACATTAATTTCTATTGAAAACGGATTTTCAGAGTCAGAGTCAGAATCTGAATCACTATCACTTTTGCTAACACCAAAATCGGGAACATTATTATTATTGTTCATGCTACAAGAATATAGCGAGTTTGGTGATTCCAAAAGTTCGATTACGTCTGGTGGAAGGGGTAGTTTATTTTGCTGACCCAATCTTTTTGATAGGTAGATGCTCGAAACAAGAGGATCTGAGGTATCCATGGCTCTGTGGAAAACGTCTGCCATGTTGTTCTGCCGTGAACTCTTTCGAGCATGTAACCTCCTGTCACTCTTATAGTACTTGTTGCGAGCCTCTGAAGCGTTCTCGCCGAGAACACCTAATGGAAGGATTGATGCTTCTATTATTTGGTAGCCGTGCATTAACACTTTATGGACTGTTGCCGACATTGGAAACCATGGATACAAGGACGTATAGAGTGTAATGGTTTTCTGACAATATTTTTTAAATTTTGTTGGATCAATTGGTAGGTGGCAAGAAATAGCAATTAAAATATTGTTAAAATATGCAATGAGAATTTCATCAAGACCTAAGATTTCAGCTAGTAGCTTAGGTTGTGCAAACGCCCTCCTTGCTGTATTGCCGTCGTTGGTATTTCCATTGCCATTCTGCTTGGGCTTATCCACATGTAAACCCATAGCACTCCACATCTGCTTCTGAATCGTTTTTTTTTGATTCGCCACTTCTTTTTTCCATTTTCATCTCTCACTTGCCATTTTTTAAGTTTCAGTCTATATGCAATTTTAAGAACGAATTCAAAAAATCGAATCCAACCATGTAGAGGACTTATGCCATATTTTAATGCTTCATATCTTGGCTTAAATTTTGGTGAGTCTATGTTAACATTTTCCATGCTGACTTTTGGACTCGCTCCACATATCGGACACAATTGGCAAGATTTCGTTTCAGTCAAAATGTTTAAAACCTTTCCGTCTAAAAGTGTCATTTGAAGATCATATTTTACTGAAATTGATTTCCCATTTACAGCGGAGCAGACATATGAAGACCAATCTTTTATTTGACTATCCAAATTTTTTTTCTCAGCAAGAATATGATCTTTTGTCTCTTTAACAAACTCAAGCTTGACTGGTCTACAAAATCTAATCGACTGAGGAGTACGATTCATCCAAAATACATTTCCAATATGGTCCATTAATTTTAGGGGGATTATTGTTGTTGCAAAAAGCGAGTCGTCAGAAAGAAATGAATCACATCCAAAAAAGTGTTGCTTATAGCTGCTTTGTCCGGTTGTTCCGTCAAATCCATAGCTTGCAATAAGGGTCAGACTTAAAGTATTGCCAAGCTGCTTAAATATATCTTCTTGCATTTGAATTATACGGCAACTAGTGTGGTCTAGAAGACTTTGCAGCGGAACTTCAGCAACTGACTCGGTTACATTTATATGAAAAGGTCTACATTTTAACTTAGCTTCTCTGACTTTGTTGTAAGCAGGAAAAAGTTCACAAGATCGGGAAATGCTGAGGTCGCGAAAGTTGTTATACTGACTTTTAGTCAATGAATTTTCAAGCAGATATGCTAATGCTTCATCCTCCGTTAGACGAACCGAGTCATTTTTCTGATTAAAAAAACTGTTTCTAGCCTCATTGGGGTTACTCGGAGTAAGAAATGTATTTTTTAACACAAGGGCTGTATTTTTCTCGTTCGTTTTTTCGGCCGAAACAGCGGCGGCATGTACAAGAAGAGATGTGTTGTGATCCTGATTTACAGCTAAATCGGTTGCCAATTTTCTCTTCTGACGGGGACCGGCGTTAGCATATTCAACGGGTGGGCGTCCAACTGGTCTTAATGTTGACGGCTTTGGATTTGAGGACAAGAATGAACTTATTGTTATGGTCATTTTGGACAGAAGCCATTCGGTATGCTTTGTCTTAAATCTGCCCATACTTCTGTTACATTTTGCCAAGTTTTTATATATGTAAAGGTGAAAGCTTCTCACTTTGGTATTGATTTCATCCTTTTTCTCCGCGCTTAAGTCGAATTCTTTTAGTTGATCATAAATCCAACTCGAAACGGCAGATGCGCTACGATTGTTTTGTATATAAATATCGAGCAGTTGCTCATAGGCGAACTCAACCACAGCTACAACATGTGGGATTTATACATATCGGTGCAAAATGGAGCAAAAAAGCTTAATAAAATTAGTTTATATACACTTTGAACTTTAATGACACATAGTTACTTTTTGGCACAAGTTGGCACAAAATTAGTTATAATCCACAACAGACGGGTTACCAGATTAGCTTTTTTCTACTTTTGGACAACAACAATAAACGCACACAAAGAACACATTATCAAACATGAACAAAGTCTTTTTTAATACACAAATCCTACATACCTTTGTCTTTCTTTTCCATAATTTTAGTGAATATTGCTTAAACCACAACAATTTTGGCACGCTCGCAAGTAAACAAAATCTTTCCCGCTCTTTTTAGTTTCGCACGCATGCAATAAAACAGCTGACTTTGAAGGGCTACCAAAATTTCAGGAATGCATCAAAACAATTAAAATCTTTTGATTCATTTTAGTCAAAGTATATACTATTCAAAT